GCGGCGACCGCGGCGGGTTCGGAGCTGCCAGCGCGAGCGGTGTAGGCGCGGGGTCGACACCCAGCGAGGACCTCGGCATGGAGCCGCCTGGCGGGGGCATGGGGCCCGGCCGCGGGAATCGGGACAAGAAAAAGGGTCGGAGTCCGGACGAGTTGCCTGCAGCGGGCGGGGACGGCGGCAAATCCAAGAAATTTGTGAGTGTCGCTCCCACCCCGCTTCCTTAGCCCGACCGGGTAACCGCCCTCTGGACCCCGAAGACCCCCACACCGGCCCCAGGGGCGCACGCCTGTCTCTAGGGAGCCGCCCCCGCGCCATCCTTCCTCCCTTTGCTGGGTCTTCGCCTCCGCACCCCCACATCCTACCCTTCGGGGAGCCCGGGCGTCCCACCCGGCTTTTGCCTCAGCAGCCCCGGGGCAGCCTTCAGCCCCTTAATCCTTGGCGCCCTGCCCGCACCCACAGCCCCAATCTCTTCCCTCTCGGCCCCACTTCCTTTCTTGTTCCTCTGTTACCGAAACACGCCTTCTCTCTCGGTCTCTGCTTGTCTGGGTCCATTTTTTTTCCGACTACCCTTCCCCCCTTTTTTGATACGCTCTTACTCCTTCCTCCTAAAGGTCACTTCCTTCCCCAAGATCGATGCCTTTCACCTGCTAACTTTCCTCCCGCCCAGTCCCCACGCTGGGCCCTCAGCCCGGTGTCACCTGATAATCCTTCCCCTCAGGAATATTACCTGACTTGGGCCCTTCCCTTGGACGTTTGTCCCTGCGATTGCAGAACCTTGTTGCCAGCCCAGGTCTGTGGTCATCGGGTTTGGCGTTCATTTACTTCCCAGTATTTCTCTATCCTGAGAACTTCTTTGGCCCTGTTGCTGATCCCTTTTTGGGGGGTTAGAACTTATGATTATGCCCTTCTTGACCTGGGATGGTCTTAAGCCTCCCCCATAGGGACGATGTTAGGATGCAAGTCCTAGAAGTTTTTGAGTAGTTGGACTGCTTTTTATGTATTTCCCATGATAAACATCTTAACTCTTCTGCTGTCTACTATGCCCCAAGGCGACTGGCTTCTCTTTTTCTACCTGTAGAGTATAGCTCTCCTCAGGTGCCAGTTACTTTCAATCTGAGGAATACTGTGTTCCTGTAATTCTATCACGTTTCATTACCTTTGCCTATACTAAATTTTCTTTCTTAGCTCTCTCTCCTGGGAGTTTTTTGTTTGCTTTTTGCTGGAAAAGTTTTTGAAAGATAGACAGCACTGTGCAAGACAGGAGAAGAGTCTTGGTTCTTAATAATCATTTGCTAGTTGTATCTACAGTTACTTGAGTCTTCTTTTTCAGGAAACTATGCCCTCCTCCCCCAGTATTTCTGTTAGCCAAATGGCTTGCAATTCTTCCCTTTTTCTCTTATTCCCCACTCCTCAGCTTTTTGCCCAATTCTACAGGTTTGGAAAGAAAATTGATACTCTGATGGAGATAGAAAGGAAATGCTGCTTTGGGACCTAAAGGATTAATATGTGGAATGGACGAAAGAAACAGAATTAAAATAGTGACTCATCTCCTCCTACCTATTTCTAGTAAGGCAGGTGCTCCTGGACTGACAGACTTACAGGCTGTCAGTCACTGCTTGTTTTTATGTGTCAAACATCTTCCTCTAGAAATTAGGGTTACTAATAGTGACACCCTTTTCTCTATAAGAATTACCCCTGTAGCTTCAGAGAATTTTTTAAGATTTAGGTTCGAGGGCCCATATTCTATTCTTTTTGTTTTGGTTGCATTTCCATGGGTACTGTTTGACCTTCCTCTCCCAGATTCCAACGGTTCCTGCTGATTTATAGTGACCTCTGTGACTTGTAAATATTTTTCAAGTCTTTCATAGAATTGTACAAATTTCTTTCTTTTATCTAACATTTGTGTATGTCATATTTGTGAAATCTACTGTGTGGTGCTATGACATGAGGTATCTGAAGAAACTGAACTTCTTTTCACCTGTTCTTTGGAATGTCCATGGAGTCTTGTATATGCTGAGTAGATTTGGCTCACAGTATGACTCTGAGACTTAGATTTTGAGAGGGTGGAGCTAAACCAAGTTCTCTTTTCTTTCTGAGGTATTTGTCTTAACTCTCAACCTGCTGAATTTTCAAAGTATGTAGCATAAGTAGTGAATATAGCATTCTTAACTGGGGAACTGGAAAATTTCCAGAAAGTATTGCAGCTTAACCCCTTTATTGCCAACTATAACGTATTTGAATGCATTAGAATAATCTCTCTTCTTCATTGTTCTTTTTAAGAGAACTCTGTGGAAATGAGAAAAGGGGAGGTGCTTTACAATTCACTTCTCTGTCTGAGTATGAGAGTGGGTGGAGTTGAGAGTGCGGGTGTGCTTTTGTCACCCATGGCTTAGTTTTCTTGACCTAAAAACTGATTTGCCTGCTCCATTAGAATGTGTGTCTTCTGGAACTCCATTAAGAACATACTTCATGCAACTGCATGCTAGCTTGAATTTAGTGTAACTGAAGATTACTTGTTTGCATCTGAGGGGTACTAATTCCTTTACCTGCTATATACCTCTCCAGGCTTATGCAGGTTCTTAGTACATTTCTGCTGATGAGAACACAAACTCTCAAATTGCCTAAGATCTGTTCTTAGCCTCTGTGGGATTTTTTGTGGAAAGAAGATGGAACCTAACTTTGAAGATGATTGGACATCTTTTAAAACTGAGTATTAAAAATTCAGATATACTGACCTGTGTGACTGCCTGGTACTCCCCTGAGTATTTTCTCTTGGGGCACGAACATAACCCCTTTTCTAGGATCATTTCACTTCCTTTCAGAAGTCCTTAAGGTGAAATAAAAGTTTAAGTCAATAGCATTGATGACTGTGAGGAACTCATTCCTTTTAACACTGTGAGGGGGGTAAATATAACCAGGATGTTAGGAGGCTGTAGAGTGTTGTTTGTTTGAAGAGATAATAAACACAGGGATTATTAGTTTGGAAAGAGGAGGGGAACCTACAGAAGTATTACTGAGTTGTTTGAGATGACAGAATAATACCTTAAAAATTTGTGTCTTCTCGCCTTATCTTTAAAAAGGAGCCCAAGGATCCACTTGATAGTGTTTGTTGCAGAGGTTTGTCTAAGAGGAAATCCTCCTTCACAGGAGGCGAAACTGAGGGAATGCCTCAGAATTCAAATCTCTGCTTTGAGAGTTGAGAAATGTTGAGATACTTTCATAAAGGAGTAGAGAATTTTATGATCTGTATATTTCTTATAAAGAAATATATTCTTACATTTCTTATGAAGATAGTACTCAGAAGTGATTTAACTTTGCTGATGAGCATATGGGTCAAACTAGACTAATATATTTCCTGTCGGAATAATCTTTTGCTTTCCACTGGGGCCCTCAGTATTTTAAATGGATTGCTTAGTTATTCTTAGCGTGTGTTATGTTTTTAGTAATAGAGGCTTAGAGGTAAGGTTATGCCACAGGATTAAGGAGACCAGGTTCAAATCATGTTTATTAACAAGAAATACTGGGTATTACAGAAAATCAAAGGGTTTGTTTATGCAGGTAGTATTTTCTTGTGTATTTCTGTCTCAGCTTTGCCTGTAGGGTTCAGTGAGGCAAAGTCAGCCCTCTCCTGCTGCCAATCTTCTCATCTGTTTTCGTCCTCTGTGCTTCTATAGGGGCTAGTTTGATTACCATGAACAGCCAGATTGTAGCAAAATCAGAAGGAGAAAAATGTTGATACTGAAATTTCTTAAAACTTTGAAACTAAAATTGCAAAGTAAAGAGTATTTTAATCACTGAGATTGTATTTTACATTCTTTTCTCCCTGTCTTTTTTTTTTTTTAAAACATAGTTTTTAGAATCAGTGATCACTTTTTTTTTATGCATACAGAGCTGGGGTACAGGCCAGAGGCTCAGGGGCAGTGAGAGGCTTCACCAGAGACAGAGTGGGGAGCAGAACAGGCAGATCGACGAAGTACTCTGCTGAGGGGAGCAGAGGGCGGGTCAGGAGAGGTCTGCCACACCATGTTGTCACCTCTGGGGTAGGCGGGGATCGAACTCATGCTGAAGTGGCTTTAGCTTCTTAGTGCTGTGCTTTAACCCGCTGTGCCACCAGGGAGGGCCAGTGATCACTTTTTAAGGAAGTAAACGAATTACTGAAGGAAATGAGGAATATTGATATTTGTATTTGATGAATTTTACCAATTAAGGATAACTGATGAATAATTGTTCTTTCAACTTTGAAATTCTTACTTCCGTTCATTTTGAAAGGTTGCTATGAATAGTAGCCTTAAAATTTTAGAGTTGGAAGGGGTTTATATGTCATCAAGCCCAAACACCCACGCAATGCAGCAACAGTCCCTTCTTACTATTGGAGGCTAGAAACATCTAGAGGCTAAGTGAGAGGTAAACTGAATGAGTGAGTGAAGGAGAAGCAGAAATTTTGGATTCTGCATTTCCTTTACTAAATTTCAGTATCTTGGAAAAGCTATAGTAGTAGAAGGGGATTATATAAGAGGAACAGCAACACTAGAAACTATGGGACTTGAGGAGGAAAAATTATGACAAGAAGTGTCAATTTGTCCTTCAAATATTTGCTTAAATTTCTTTTCTCAAAGGGGCATGAAACAGTTATGGGGCCCAGAGGAGAAAAGCATAATGGAACTAAATCAAGAGTAACATATGACACCTTTATGTAGTGGAGGAGGTAGGACTTCCATCCTTGGGGTGGTTGGAAGTGCTCCTTACGCAGCAGCTACTTTAGCATTTTATTAGGGTAGCAGATAACAGGTAGAATTTCTGGTGCCCTGGATCATTTTTCTGGATTTCTGATTCTGTAATTTCTTGTCTTGGGAATAGGGCTGGATGAAAGCTAGGATTTGCATGTTCTTTTAAAATTTAATATAACTTTTGAGAAACCCAACAGAGGGTGATTTTATAAACCAGCTTTGATCCTTAAGGTCACAGAAAACCAAGAAGTAAGTCTTGGTAGCATGTTTACACATAGCTGTCTCCTTTATTCTGAACCCCTTTTTTTTAATGTCAGAATTTAAGATAACGTTAAAACGTTTATTTTTTTTTCTTTTTTTTTTCCCCCCTACTGCTCACACATTATTCAGGGTCTTCATCATTGTCTTGTGCCTCAGACACTTGGATATTACCTCCATGTTTTACAGTTTGTTGATATATAATTAAC